AGGGGTGATGTGTAAGAGCTGAAGAGATCCTCTAAGAAGCGCACCCTAAGAGCCCCACCCAGACGGTCCAGGAGAAGCCCAGCATAGTTACAGAGGGAGAAGACATGTCAACTTTCAAGGTGGGGCTGAAAGGGCCTTGGAAAGAACTGCCTGTGTGTTTGTGTATGCAGATGCAGACAAACATTAACATATACCAAGAAATATAGACACTGAGGTGAGCTTGATCAAGAAATTGGTTTAATTTATTTTTTTTATGTGTATGAGTGTTAAGCCTATATATGTATAAGTGCACCTGTGTTATGCAGTGTCCTTAGAGGACAGAAGAGGGCCTCAGATCCCTTGGAACAGGAGTCACAGATGGTTGTTAGCTGCCACGTGAGTGCTGGGATTCGAACTCGGATCTTTTGCAAGAACAGTGTTCTTAACCGCTGAGCTCTCTCCAGCCCCAAAAAATTAAAAACAAAACAAAACAAAAACCACATTATTACATTTTATTTATTTTATGCCTGTGGGTGTGTGTGTCATCTACCCACTAAGCCATCTCATCCTAAGAAATCTAAGACTCTGGAGGATTTAGAGATGCTGAGAGGAAAATAATGAACCCACAGCGCAGTTAGTAGGCACTACATGACTTCTGTCACCCTCTTCTCCCCTAGTGTTGATATAATCACCAGGACCCAGAATGAGTTTAGGGCTAAATGACTCAGAAGAAAAGCTCAGGGTTCCTGCTTTGGCTGATTTAGGCTTGGAATCAGACTACCACAAAGAGCTAGTGCTAGTCTATCTTGCCAAGTTAGATATGTTTATAGCCTCATTTATCAAGTAACTGACACTCATCTTTACACTGAAATAGTTAAAACTGCAAGGGTTTCCCCCTCAATCTCTTCAAATGTACTCTGAAGTCACTTTTTGGTTTGTTTATTTGTTGAAACAGGGTCTCTGGTAATGCAAGCTGACCTCAAACTAATTACATAGCCTTGACTTCTGATGACCTTGAATCCTTATCCTTCTGTCTCTACCTCCCAAGGGCTAGTATTATAGTCAAGGGCCCCCACACCTAGTTTGATGTCACTTTTTTCACTAGGATTTCAAATTAGTTACCCAGGTTCAGAAGAGAAAGGCCTCTGACAAGAACTCTGGGATGTTCAGTGTTCACATGAAAAACAGATGTGGACATGAGTGAAGCCCAGCAGTGGAACACATGCTTAGCATGCAAGACGCCTTGGGTTCTATCAGAAGGAGGGAAGGAGCAGGCAGCAGAAGGCCAGCAAAATGGCTCAGTGGGTAAAAGCACTTGCCACGAAAACCTGGTAACCTCACTTTGATCTCCAAAACTCATATAAGGAGAATTTGGGACTGGAGAGATGGCTCAGCAGTTAAGAGCACTGACTGCTCTTTCAGAGGACCTGGGTTCGATTCCCAGCACCCACATGGCGGCTATGAACTGTCTTTAACTCCAGTTCCAGGGGAATCCAAAGCCCTCTTCTGACCTCCATGGCATTGCACAACACGGGTGCACTCAGGCAGGTAATACACTCATACACATAAAATAAAAATAATAAATATATTAAAAAAAAAGAGAACTGACTCCACACAGCTATCCTCTGACCTCCACAGACATACTATGGCATATACACCCACATATACAACTCCATGCACACATACACACAAATCATAATTTTTAAAATATTTATTATTTTTGTTGTATGTTTATGTATGTTTTGCCTGTGTGAAGGTAAGTGCACAACTGTCATGCAATGTCACGGCATCATAAAAAGGGAGTTAAATCCTTCCCAGGTTACAAGGCTAGGGTTTGAACTCTGGCGGATTACAAGGCATGTGCAAGGTAGTAAACATTCTCAGCTGTAGTCCCAGTTACTCAGGAAGCTAAGACAAATCACTTAAAACCAGTATAGACAACACAATGAACCATCCCATGTACTTCATGTACATGAACAAGAGCCTGCTAGTGAACCAAACTGAGGACTTTACGCATGCTAATCCAGCACCATAACTCTAAATTATATTCCTAGTGAGACCCCCATCTTTTTTTTTTTTTTTGGACTCTTTGAGACAGGGTCTGTCCTGGAACTCACTATGTAGACCAGGCTGGCCTTGAACTCAGAGATCCACCTGCCTCTGCCTCTGCCTCCTGAGTGCTGAGATTAAAGGCGTGCACCACCATGCCCGGCAAGACTCCCATCTTTCGGGGGGGGGGGGGGGAACAACTGGACATGGTGCTTCACCCCTGTAATTCAAGTACTTGAGAGAGACACTGAGGCATGAATATCACCACCAAGTTCAAGGCCAGACTGGGCTTCAGAAGGAACTGTCAAAACAAAACAAAAGAAAACGCCAGCAAGAGATGGTTTTAGTGGGGCAAAAATGCTTGCCATGCAAGCTTGGCAACCTGAGTTCCATCCCCAAAACCCACGAAAAGATGAATGGAGAGGGGGCTGGAGAGATGGCTCAGTGGTTAAGAGCACTGGCTGCTCTTGCAGAGGACCCGAGTTCATATCACAATGCCTACATGGCAGCTAACAACCATCTATCTGTAATTCCAGTTCCAGGGGATCCCATGCCCTCTTCTGTCCTCCGCAGGTACTGCATGACACAGGTGCACTTACACACATTCAGGCATAACACTTATACACATAAAATAAAAATTAAGAAAATTTTTCCACAAAAAAAAAGATGGAGAGAACCAACTCAATAATGTTGTCCTCTGACCTCCGCGTGTATTGTATACGCATCACAAGCACGCGCACACACAATAAAGAATTTTTAAGTATTTTCTTTATTTTTATTTTATGTGTATGAGTATGTTGCCTGCATGTAGATAGGTACACCAGTGTCATTCAATGCCCACAGGGGTCAGAAGAAGACATCAGATTCCCCTGCAACTAGAGTTACGAACAGGTTAACTGCCATGTGGGTGCTGGGATTCAAATCAAGGTCCTCTGCAAGAACAGCCAGCGCTCTTAACTGCTGAGCCATCTCTCCAGCCCATAAAGATTTTTTTAAATTGGAAAAGAAGGGGGAAGAGAGGAAAGAGAGAAAGAGAGATTTTCTTAATTGGAAAAGAGGGGAAGAGAGGAAGGAAGGGAAGGAGCGAGGGATGGAAGGCTGAAAAGATGGCTTAGCAGTTAAGAGCCCTGCTCTTGCAGAGGACCTGGGTTCAGTTTCCAGCACCGAAGTGGTGGCTGACAACTGTCTGAAACTCCAAGGACCCAATGTTCCCTCTGGCCTCCAGGAGCATTGCACGCATGTGGTACGCTTACATACAGGCAAAACACTCATAAAATACAAATAAATAAATTTAAAGAAAAAAAAATAAAAGGAAGGGAGGGAGGGGGAAGAGAGAGTTGGAGGTATGCCTCAGGGCAGAGTGCTTACTTAGCCTGCATAAGTCTCTGGGTTTGATCCCCAGCACTAGAGGAGGGGGAGAAAAAAAAAAAAGAAAAAAAAGGGAGTAAGCAAAAGGAAGATAGAAAAGAGTTCAATCTCATGAGAAGTGGCGCATGACTCTAATCCTATCACTCAGGAGGCTGAGGCAGAAAGACATAGCAGGGACTGTAGAACAATACCCTTTCTCAAAAACAAAACCAAAAAAGCTGAAACTGTTAACAATAAAAATTTAGAAAAAAGAGCAGAAATTGGAACAGTTCAGAAGGTCCTGAGTTCAATGACTGGCTCCACAAAACAAACAGAACAAAAGGTCAGCTAGCTTCTTAGGAAGCTGAACAGAATGGATTGCTTGGGGAAGGATCACTGGAGCCTCTAAGTTTGAGACAAAACCAAGCACACAGCAAATGCTGCCTCAATAAGGATCAGCAGCAAACTTTTAGTTTCCCTATAATCACCATGTTGTTTTCTGTCAAAATCTGGGACCAGGGGCTGGAGAGATGGCTCAGTGGTGGAGAGCACTGACTGGACCAGGGTTCGATTCCCAGCACCCACATGGCAGCTATGAACCGTCCTTACTCCAGTTCCAGGGAAATCTGAAGCCTTCTTCTGACCTCAGCAGCATTGCACGACACGGGTGCACTCACATACATGCAGACAATACGCTCATACACATAAAATAAAAATAATAAAGTTTAAAAAAAATAAAAAATTTTAAAAAGGGGGCCACGCGTGGTGGCGTGTGCCTTTAATCCCAGCACTCGGGAGGCAGAGGCAGGCGTATCTCTGTGAGTTCAAGGCCAGCCTGGTCTACATAACGAGTTCCACGTCAGCTGGGGCTACAGGGAGACCCTGTCTCAAATTTAAAAAAAAAAAAAAAAAAAAAAATCTGGGACAAGTCACCTAAGCCCTAGGTTAAATCTCCCACCACCTAGTTTTATAAATAAACATTTATAAATGAGTCTCCTCCATTTGTTTGCGTATGCTTCCCTGCTACAATGGCAGAGCTGAATAGTTAGGACAGAGCCAGCAGGCCAACCAAATATAAAATATCTATTTTCAGCCCTTTATAGAAAGTTTTCAGATTGTGGTCCAATGATAGCCAAATATCTAACAGAAATGGTAGAAAAATAAGTTCCTTCATTTCAACCCAATTATTTCAGGTTTATTATGAACCCATCTCTTCCGTTATAATTAGTATCATTTAGTAAATACTAATGTTCACATTTCAGTTACTTTCCATTGAGTAGGTACTACATTAGCTGCCCAGTAATTTACCCTTCACAATATTATTACAAACAAAATCCTCACTAAGGCATATTTGCAATTATCCCTACATATATTTATCTTTCAATTACACAAAAGCTACAAAGATTCAAACACAGAACACAGCTGAACACAGAATAGCTGATACGACTTAATAAATCCAATATTCTATTCACACTAGAACATCTCAAAATACCATTTAGATCCCAGAATATTTGTGTCACTTGTTTATTAGAAAAATAAATCCATGGGCACTCTTCCAAACTCATCAGGTTATACTTAATGCACATTCAAAGTTTGAGAATCAGTACACTAAAACCAAATCTTACCTTGAGTGTGAAGAGGCTGATTCGGCCAGGCAATTTATAAAACAGCCCTTCTCCTCCTCTTGAGTTGGAATGTAGCATAGCATTGAGGCATGCGAGAGGGGATGTTCCACTGGAAATCACAAACGATGAACAAGTCATATAAATCCATATGCCTGCTACCAAACACCCAGACCTTCCAATTCATTTTCAAATCAGAAGCAAGCAGAGCAAGCAAAACAGAGGAAAAGATCCCCCAATCCTACTGTGAAAGTAGTAAAAGAATAACCAACTCAAATTCACATAAATCACAGGCAAGAGATGTCCAGGCTAGGGTACGTGATACTCATAAGATAGACCTAACACATCGTCAGTGTTTTCGAACAATAATGAAACAAATTCTCTCAAGAAACTTAGAAAAACCACACACAATTTTAATTTTCTAGTGCTTGAGAGATGATTCAGCAGTTAAGAGTGCTTGCTGCTCTGGCAGAGGACCAGAGTTCAGCTCCCAGCACCCACAATGGGTGGCTCACAAGCACCTGTTAACTCCAGCTCCAGGGTATCCAATGCCTTCTTCCAGCCTCAGAGGACACCTGCACACATGTGCACATACACATACATATAAATTGAAAAAAGTTTTTTTCAAGTTATATGCTAAGAAATTTTGCAACATGTATCTTAGCCAGATATGCTGGCTCATGTCTGTAATCTCAGTACTTGGGAAGGTAAGGTAGGAGGACCAGCTAATTAATGTTTAGGATAGCATGGGCTACACAGTGAGTTCCCGGTTATTCTGGGCTAGAACCTTTATTTCAAAACCAGAAACAAACAAAAAAACACATCTTAATAGAATTTTACGGTTAAAAACAAGTGTTTGGGGTTTGCAAGATGACTCAGCAGGTCTTGTCACAAAGTCTGATAAGCTGAGTTCCATCCCCAGGACCGACATGCTAGAACAAAACCGACTTACTCCTTCAGTCTTCTGACCTCCACACATGTGTCTGGCACTCCCCACCCCCGGCACATAAAATACAGTGTTATAAAAATGGAAAATCAAGAACAAAACTAAGTTTTCTAGTATATACACTTTAACCTATGTACCATGCTCAGAAAGTGCCATATTAACTTTGTGACCAAAAAGATCAGATTCAAAGGTGTGATCCCAATAAACAAGTGCATTTTTTCAGTTAAATATTTTCTAATAAAAGCACACCAAGGAACAATATATATATATATATATATAATTTTT